TTTTTTTCTTTGATTTATTAAGAACTGTATTTATATTTAAATTAAAAACTGTGGAAAATGCATAACGTTAGAATAATTAATTTATTCGAAAAAAATCTCCGATTTTTCAGATGGTATTAATTCTAAAGGACATTTCGATTTTAACGACGTGTTTATTGGAAAAAAATATCGCTTTTTAAATTCGAAGAAGTACGTTATACTCTAAAAGTCCTTATCCGGCTTTTATTTTCACAATCGTAGTAGCATGGACTTGTAGTTACAGAAATGTTTTAAATGACACAAATATTCGTAATTTGCAATTTTTAAATTCAAAGAAATCAATTTTATAAAAATTACGAAATCTTATTTTTGTTGCGTTCTTTTGATCTCTACAATTGTAAAATGCTTGACTCCAGTACGATAAAAAGTTGACAAAATTTGATGTTAAAATAGGAAATTATATTCAGGGGCCGTACAAAAACGGAAGAGCAAAATGTTTGCATTTATTTATACATAACTAAAAAATATCAGTTCGGAAAAATATTTCCTATGCTGCAAGATTAAGCGACGAGTATTTCTTAGCAGATTATTATGAAAAATATTGAAGAATATAATTTTTTTCACAGAAATTTATAGAATATGTGTTCTAAAAAACAACGGCAGGCTTCAGTACGTGCACGGAGCCAAACTGTAATATTACTTACATTAATTAAAAATGAATTTTTTATACGATTATCAGATTATAATTCTAAACTAATAAAACTTTATAAAAATTTTAATCAGATATTTTTAGATTTTGAGAATTTATAAATGACATGTGTGGAAATTCTTTATGTAGTTTTATGTGTATGTTCAAAATATAACAAAATTATAATTGAAGAAACTAGAAAATTACAAGAGAAATATCATTGAATAGTATTTAAGAAGAAAAAATTCAACCTCGAATTATTTTGATTTATTTATTAACTGGACAAAATTGAAAATGATATCAGTCATCACAAATTTTGAAATTAATATCACAGTCAATTTTTTTTGTTTGGGAATTCAAACTTTTTGTGTTTTATTTTTTATAACGAGTGCAAAACATTTATAAATATAATTATAGAATCCGGTGGAATGCATAAAATGTTTAGAGTTTGTAATTTCTTTGAACTTAAAAATGCCACAGTCATCGCTTCATTTAAAGTAGGGGCCTTCAACACGGAGCCTCCTGAAGGTATTTTAGTGGCCCCACATTTGAATTTGAAGAAAAACTGAAAAATATTTAAGAAATTTTGATTTCAAGAAAAATTGTCTTTAAGCTTTTTGTGGTAAAAAATCTTTTTTTCTCTTATTTTTTATATTTAATAAAAAACATTTTATTAACATACCTGTTATTATTTGGGATAAAATTTTTTGAAAATGACGAATTTTTCAAAAATTTCACTTTATCTTATGTAATTTGTGTTCCAACTGAATTTCAATTTCAACAGAATTTCTAGATTTACACTGTGACTCTGTAGTAAAATGCAAGTAGTAAAATCCAACATTAATAAATTTTTATTCGAAATACGTGACTGAAAACAAGTATCCAGGAATTCGTAAACATGCAGTCTTCATGTCTTCTATCTTTGGCAGTGCCTACATATGTGAACAGCGTTTTAGTAAAATGAAAATCTTAAAATAAAAAACAAGGCTGACAGACAGGCATTTGGAGGAAACTCTTAGGAATTGCAACAACACAGATTATACCGGATATTGAAGCTTTAATCAAGCAAAAACAATGTCATATTTCACATTGAAACCAAAGTAACTACCACCTCCAGCCAGTAATGAAGTTTTCTTAAAATTTTTTATTGTAAATGCATTTTGTAAAATCGTTCTGTGCAGTCATCTTTATACTTTTTTTTCCATAGTTGAGCAAAGTTGCAAAACATTTTAATTCGATTTCTGACTTTTGGATTGACTTTTTGGAACCAATGTATACATATACAAATCTGTAACACTATCTCTTCGCTTAGAATCAATTGTAGTCTTGCAAAAGAAAGCGCTCCTCTTTTATATAAATTTTCCGACTACACTATTTTTTTCACAGACACATGGCCCGTGAATCTTTGTGAATTTATTGATGTGACTCTCGGGCGTACAAGGTTAAAGACCCCTAATGTTAAAGACCCCTAATTTAAAGCGTTTTTGTAATTTAAAGTATATGTTTACGGCCAGTGACTGCAAAAATAAAGACCAGGTAAGGCTTTCTGCGGGCACAATGTATAGTAAAATAATTTATATTTAATTAAAATGCATGTAAAATACACGTTAAGTTTTTATTGCTTGAAGGAAAACCATGTTGCTGTTAAGTTAAGGAATTGGAAGTTAGATTTGAATATTTTGGATAGAATGAAGATAGCTATATTTTATTTATTCTTGAATGATTAAAATTACGCCTAGTTAATCTGTTATTGTTATTCTTTTACGTCTGAGATCTGAGACGTGTGCTTTTTGTCCAAAAGGGGGATTAGCACAAAAGGAGGGAAGATATACGTAAGGTTGGCCTGGTTGCCTCTGCTGTTAAATGTGATTTTAGTAGTAAGCATTGAGGTGTCTTTAACGTAAGGATCCAATAAGTGGAATAATGCTGATATGCAAAGCCTGGACTCGCTTCGCTTGTTCACTCAAAGTTCCAGATACCATTGTAAAGGATTTCTTCCAAGTGTTTGCGTGACTATACCGATATTAGTTTCGATGAGGATGTAAGCTAGAAGTGTCAAACGACACCTAAAAGGTTCCACTTAATCAAATTGGGAGAGCGTAAAATCCAATGTTGAAAATATTCAAAAATAAGTTTGCAAGTTTGCACTCCAAAAGCACTTTTATTTATGTATAGGCTGATTATTTATACTGAAAGTTGGTGGTGCGATTTGTTCAAGCAACGAAACCGAAGCGGACATTGACTGTTTTTTATTGCCGCTTCCCGCTTGTCGCCACTTCTCGAAAACAAAATTGTGGAAAGAGAGAATTAGGCTGTTGTAAAGGAAATGACAAGGAAGTGCTAACAGTGAGTCTGTTTAAAAGCAGATTTCTTCGTCCTCCCCGCGTGCCTTCGTGGTGTCATTTTTGGCACTTCCGGGTTAGCAGTCGAAAAAGTCTGTAGCTCGAAAGCCGGTGAGGGCAAAGCTGATTTTTCCATTTTTTGTCTTCAAAAAATTCCCTATCACTCTGCAGTAGCGCCCAAATAAAATGTGGCGAATGGTTATTTGTCAACACATGGGTCTGATGACTGGTTGCCCCTCATCCTTAGTCGCCTTTAAGTAGAGTGGAATATCAGGAATTTTCTTCTCCTTTGTGATGTAATGGGTAACACGTCAATCGAAAGGTCCGGAGTTCGAATCCTGCGAGGGCATAAGTTCAATTTCTCACATTTTCGCTCATAATAATAATTATTATTAAGACTGTGTAGGACTATATAGTCAGTGACGCTCGAAATTAAATGTGCTGGATGGTAATTCATCACCACCTAAATCTGGCGTTTGTATCCCCTCCTCCTTAGTCAACGTTTAAGCAGGAGAGAATATAAAGAATTTTTTTCCCTTCCTTGCCGTGTGCTTTTACGGTTTAATTGGTATACCGTTCGGCTGACAAACGGGAGGTCTGAAGTTCGAATCCCGGCGAGAACATAGCTGATCATTGAATATCACTCATCCTTTCCTGCTTCAGAAATTTCATACTGCTCTACTTGCTTAAGTTTATATGTTTTATTCGGTACGTTTAATCAATGTGAATAATTTCACTCTTAATTTTAACATGTTAGATAAACAGTTGTCCATAATTAGCATGTATTCCAGTAAACATTTATTAATGCTATTTAATTTTTATTGAATGAGGGCCCATCAGCGGCTGAGCGGTAAGGTCGCTGAACACTGGTAGTTTCGTCCGGGGTTCGAATAACGTGTATAATTTCCAGTTTCTCCGAGAAAGGTCCTCTAAAGCATCCCTCAGGCAGATACCCGTTGCCGTAATTAAATAAAAGAACCAAACCTTATTGGATGAAATTTAACAGCCATACCATTAGAGAGCCCACCAGCGGCCGAATGGTAAAAGCCGCTGAACACTGGTAGTTCGGTTCGGGATTCGAGTCCTGGCGAACGGGCTGACTGCATGAGGGTGGTCGTGGTAACATGGATGCGATCCAGTTTCCCTTAAAACGTCCTCCATGAGGCTGGTTTGGTTTATTTAATTATGGGAAAGCACACTAGGGCTATCTGCCTAAGGGAAGTGATGCCTTCGTGGAGGACTTTCTAAGGGAAACTAGCTCGTATACACGTTACACATAGCGAAAACCACGAAAACGCCCATGCAGCCAGCCCGTTTGCGGGATTCGAACCTCTCACCGAACTACCAGTGTTCAGCGACTTAACCGCTCGGCCGCTGGTAGGCCACCTCCATGAGGCATCCCTCCTTTTACGTGTAATGCCTTAATGGCAGAGCACGTAATAAATGATAATAATAATAATAATACAACAAAAGAGCGACATTAACATGAGCTAGCGAATGAAAGTTACTAATTTCAGTAAGCGAAACTCATTAATTAATTATTTTCTCGAGAATTTTATTTTAAACTCATTAATTATTTTCTCGAGAAAAATTAGAATTGAGAAAATTAATTGGAAATATGGGGTTTTAACTTCTCCCACATTTCAACATCGATGGTGATGTCACATCCTGATTTTCTCCATCTAGCGCATACGCACAAAGAATTTCGATTCTGTGGGACTATGAAAAAGAACTTTCCCTTCTTTTCTAGAAGTTCGTGTATACACACTGTTAATCGCTCAGGTTAATGACGTACTTCCAAAATAGAGAAGCCTTTTAAAATTTGTATGGTAATAAAGGTTAATTAATATTAATTTAATTAAAAATCATTTAATATTATTAATGAATGTTTTCTGATTTATACGAAAAATGTACATATGCATATATTGATTTGAATTTGACATTGCACTGTTGTGTAAATTTGAATTTCTAATTTAAAATTTTTTTTACAGCTTGAGGAAATCTGCAACTCAAAATTGTGTGGTTCCTTTTATTTTGGATTATACAGTAATGTGAGTATTCTGTATTTTTTATTGTATTTTCACCTATTCGTTTACGATAATGATGTAAAATTAGTTTCTCGCTATCTTGAAATGTTTTTTATTCTGTGTTGCTTCGCTGAAATATAAATTTTTATAATTTAATATTTTACGGCCGTAACTGGGATTTAAGTAAGTTGAGTACCTATTTCAGGTACTCAACTTACTTACTTACTGTTTATGTTTACTTACTTATTGTTTATGTTGTCAATTTAAATAATTGACAACACAAACAGTTTTGATTTGTATACATAAAAAAGACAAGCGTTTAATACTTTAAAAATACCATTGGACGATTGTAAAAAATTTTGTGGAATAATGTAAATATTTTTGAATATTTGATGTAAGTATGTATATTTTATGTTACATCAAATTTCTTGCAAGTATATTTTATCCAGCATTTTTATTTTAACTGAAATTTATTTTGGAATCCATTAAAAAAGCTTCATTAAAGAAATAAGATTTAAGAAAATGCAAATGTTCGCTGATAAGTAATCAAAACTGGTAATTGACAAATTCCCTAAGTGCAATCACTTTCACAAACTGTGCATTAGATGTTCAGTACCATAATTTTTTGTACACTCTCAATTTAAAAGAGCTCTCTTCCATAGCAAATGCGAAGCCATTTGGAAAAATGTGAATATTTCCTAACAGAAATTTTATATTCCGATAGCTCGGTGTAATAAAAATCCACACCTGTGATTTGGGTAACGGTGTTATTTAGCGTATTTATAAATGTAGTCGATAAAAGTGACAACGAAATAGGTATAATACTTTTAAAAAATGCCAGGTTTGGACTTTTAGAATTAAACAACGAATCGAAGGAAGAATTGAAAGCTCGCCTAGGTTTTTGAAATATTTCTAATTTTTAAAAATTAGTCTTGTAATTTCTAAGTAATTGCCTTTATAAGATTTAAATTCATATGTAATTATCGCATTCATGTGTGCTAACTCTCATGGTGTAAATGTTCGGCTCGACCCCTTGAAATTTGGAAGATCGTTGGTTTGAATCCCGACGAGGGCACAGCCAGTTTTTCATGATGTTGTTTCTCATTTTCTTGATCCGAGCGGTTCAAGAGCAAATATACGAATTCATAATGGTCTAGAAATAGTAAGCTTCTTGTCATTGGTCAAGGCCTTGGGCACCTTAGAGGTGACAGTTCGATCTAAGTTTAACTCCATCGCAGCTTTGATGAAGATAGTCCTAAGGATTCGAAGGTTTTCTACTCCTCTTCTCTTACCAGGAAGCTTCCGAAAATACTTTAGGCTCGACAGTATTTAACGTGCCCCTTGACTCAAAGTCCCTGCACGGTTACGTACATCCATGCCTTCTCCGGCATTCAAATCCGGTCCCAAGGCTTATGGTAGCCGATTTTCGTACCAGAATTTCATGTTTCCTCCTTTCGACGAAACTAATAGTGTTTACAACTTAAGATAAGTGCGTTGATACTTGTAGGTGGTATCGAATTTTAATATTAGTAGAAACTTTTTAAATTTAACTGTTAAACTTTTTAACTGTAACTGTTAAAGTCAGGAAGTCCCATTACTTATATGTTTACCTTATTAGCGGTTGCAAGAAATTAATATTGGAAACACTTTGGAATGTTTTCTCAAACCCTTTTGAAATTGGGAATTTCTGATTTGTATCACCACTATTAAGGACGGATCTCTAAAATTTATTTTTGCTGCGACAATCCAATGTTCCAGATTTCAGCTGATTGGTTACCTGTGATTGTTGTTCTGATTTGACAGCAGATTTTGCTGCCAATATGAATGATTAGCTGCTCAGAAAATCCGAAGGATATTTTGTTCCGTTAGATAAAGATACTAGCTTCTTCTTTTCTTTTCAAATAGAGATCACCTTCTAGACTTCCTTGTTTTTCCATGTGTAACGTGTATACGAGCCAGTTTCCCACAGAAAGTTCTCCGCGAAAGCATCCCTTACCTTAGGCAGATAGCCCCTCAAGTGCTTTGCCGTAATTAAATAAACCAAACTAAACAAGACTTCGTAGATGTCGTTTGATAAGCACTCTATGATAGTGAAAAGTCAACTAAACGCATTCCACTGTCTTTCAAAAATAAAAAAAAATAAAATCTTTTTTGTGTAAGAGAAATGTATGTTAAAATTACGTAAATGCTAGGAGAATCTTTTATATAACATTTTAAAATGGAGTTCTATGGTATGTAAGGAATTATATAATTCTATACCTTTTGAACGGTATCGGTGTAATTGGAAGCTCTGCACTGTTAAAATTCAGCCTTTCAATCGCCATGTTTTTATTTCTCACACATACGCGTAGCTATATTATGCATAAGCGAAAACCACAACAGAATACTACTACCACGTTCGAAATGCCCACATATCCCAACTTTTTTTTAATTGAGAGTAGGAAATCTCCTTGACCTTCTCTTCGTCGGCAGTCGCAATGTATACTAGAAGAAGATAAAAAAAAGGGCCCATATATGGACTGCATTTGACCTCCCATCCTACGATCGTCCCTCGTATTCTTCAGGGTGGGAGTCCTCTCTAACCGCCTTCCAACCTTCCTTGGAGTGGAAGGTCGAAGCCTTCATTTTTTGCGTGGGAGAGAAAAAAATTAAGGCGAAAAAAAGTTGTACGGCAATCTTTTTATTTGCCATCTCGTTCTGGGACTGCAAAGAACGATCGAGTTTGGGTCTACGTGTTTCTGGAGGAAGATTCGTTTAATGTGCCATTTCCGCGCGTTTTAGCTCACGCTTGAGTGACACCGAAACTGCAGCTATATGGATACGTCTATCATCTATCTGCATTTGTGTAATGTTGGTGACATAGGCTTACTTGAAGGAACTTGAGGCATTTTGCGTTTGATGGATAAATTACAGAAGTCTTTTTCTATTAAGGTAACAGTTTCTGATATGTGCGTAATGATTCTGACTCTTTGGTTGTATATGCATTTTTAGTTTATTTTTTGATCGGTGATATGTATATTAGTATTTGACAGAAAATATTTTTTATGCTTTCTTGTAATAGCAAAGAATGCTTTTCTGTTTGCACATAATATTAAAAAAAATCAATATATTAGTACTTTGGCGTGCTACATTAATTTGTTTAAGATCCCCAGAAGTATACCAAAAGAGCTTTTTCGGTAAGATATAAAAGGAAAATAATTAATCTATTGTTCTAAAAAAACCCTGTTGTTATTATAACATTGTTTAATACTAAAATACAATTGCAGTGGTTGAAATATGTATACTGTACGTAAATGAAGAACTGCACATGATGCTATACATCAATGGTGTTCAGACTTTATGGCATTGCGACCCCATAGTAATGGAAACGACCCCATTAAGAATGTCGAACCTTAGTTAATGAATCCTCAAATCATATGTTTTAGATTTCTAGCCTCCTTGGAACCTCGCTATAAATTTTCCCGACACATAGTTAGAATACCACCGCTGTTTGTTTTCTTATTTAAATCAAAAGCATATTTGGTTTTCGCAATCGTATACGCCATAATACTCGGCATACGGTATTAAATTACGTCCAAAGGGGCTTTTTTTAACATTTTATGTGTTACCTTTATTTATTAAATATGTTCTGCGCACTTAAACCATAAAATTCAATTCAAGAGCAATATCACAAAATAATTTTAAAATGAGTATATCTTTAAAATTTCCGAAATTTTTTTTTCTATACAACGTCGCCATTGCTCGCTTTGAAATCCTTGAGTTTGTTAATCAAAAATTCGTTAAAGGTTTACAAAATATGAAGTCGATAATTTCCAGATTTCAAATTTGGAAGCCCATATTCGCAGAAGGATTACGTTATCCAAAAATTGTTGGCCCTAGTTACCGTTGTTTTACAACAGTGCGAGAAACATACATACATTTATGCTGATTCTTCATTATTTAATTTCTTTAAACATAGTACATTGCGATAATATTTGATGGCAACAATTTGAAAAGTGAAACAACACTTGTAGTGAATTAACGCAAAATGGCAAAACGAAATTAATAGTCTTTCTGGGCAAATTGGCCCTTTGGACTAATAAATAAAAATTCCGAAAAAACAAAAATTTACATGAAAATTGCCATGAGTTATAGCGTGTATCACATGAGTTATAGCATGTGCTGTTTATTGAATAGTAGGCCATCTTAGGCATACACTCTCTTGGACTTACGCATACTTACGCTCTTGGACAGTCCTAGCATTGTCTCGAAAGAAGTGAACAGGTGCAGAGTGCACACTCGTGACTCATCGAATTCGAATTATGTTTAAAAGAAATGTAGTACACCAAGCAAAAGTTTTCTCCTCCAAACAGGATGTATACCAAATTGCATGAATTTCAAAGCGGATGTATACCGAGGTACCACACTATTTTATTTGCAGTTGTTAACTTAATTTTTCCCCCTCCATTTCCATTTAGCGTGTTTCTTTTTTGTGAAAAGCACCCAAATACAGGCTGATTTGAATTAGTATCTCCAATAAGAAGGAGAAAATAAGTGTATATTTTAAGTGTATATTTATTGTGTTAAAGTGTTTATTCGTTGCATTAGTGCAAATAGATGTCTAACCACGTATATGATATAACTATTTCATTCAAATATAAACTTACATTTGGAATTTAACACTGCGAGTGAGAGTAAGATTCAAAACAATTATATTTTGCTTCCGGACAAAAACTGGCTGCAGACGATTTTGTGTCCTGTGAAGGCGGTAGTCTTAGCAAATATGACTGTATCGATATCTGTTTATGTTCCATAAAATACTGTCCACTTTCAAATTATAAGGTATTTCTCCCACTTCCCTAGCGTGCCTTCCTGGTGTAACTTTAGCACGCTAGGCCGGTATTCCAGAGGTCCGTGGTTCGATTCCCGGCGAAGGCGGTTGCATATTTTTCATCTTTTCTGCTTCCAAAAAAAATTACCTAATGGCTATACAAAGTATGGTTGGGTTGTGGATATAGTCCTATGAAAGGTTTCATTGTATTCTA